CTATTAGGTAATGATCTTAAATTTAAAATTTGTTAGAATATTATTTTACAAATATTAATTATAAAAAAACCTACCTAACAAATCATTCATTCATTCAAATAAAAAACACCAAAAAGTATACAATGACCTATAATTATACATGTATTCATACAGATATAAAGAAAAATAAAGGTTCAGTATATTTTTTCTTTACTATATTTTTGCTCAATTAACTTAATTATTGTTATTAATCTTTTATAAGCTTTGTTTAATAATTTTTATTTTACGATTTGACATACTAATATCTAACATATTTTGACAGAATTAGTTAATATTTGGCAATTAATTTCCAGGAGATATTTTTATAAAACAATAGTTGCATATATTATGAAAAAATTTCTCTATTGGTCAGTAATAAAGTTTGAAAAATCTTCTTTACTGTTTATTTTTCTTGGGATTCAGCCAATGTCAGATGATACTTGAAAATTTTCTATTGTTGCTTGTATTTCATTTAATGTATTATTGTCAATATCTCTTCTTCAATCTATATGCATTTAACAAGTCATTTATTAATACCTAAAAAAAGACAGTATATTGGATCAATAACCAAATACTAAATAGAATTAACATAAGAATATTAGATGCAAATGACAGTTTATTGCTTTATTAAAACAAAATCACAAATTACAAGAGTAAAAGTTATTGTCTTTTGGCTAGGCTACTCTAGTTCTATTTATACTACTAGCAACATGTACAATTGTCTATTGTTGCATTATGCAAATTACTTTTAGACTCAATAAGTTTTAAATGCCCATCTCTGACGCATAACAAATGTATCATATTACTGCACCACATAGTCTGTCATTTTCTCTCACAACATTTCTTCTATGCTTATCTTTGGCATCCTCGCCAAAGGTTTTATTACTTTTAATATTCGACAGGTTATCTATAGTAGTAGTGTATCAGATGGTTGGATGTTACATGGCAAATTAATGGTACAGATGACTGAGTCATTGTTTCTGTTACTTGTAGTTTCTGGTTCATTTTTGATTTTATTTGTTATTGCTGAATTACTAGTATTTAACCTTTTATAGTCTCTCTTTCCATTATCTCTACTTATGTGCATAAATTCGAACTTATGCTTTTTGCTGATGATATCACAAGTTCAGATAATCCTATAATATTGCTTCTGATGGTTTCACAGTGTGATTGTCTAGACCAGTCTATACTTCTTCCATTTTCTTATAACTGTATTGAGGTTTTGAGATAGATATAACTGATAAATAGAATTACACTGAATTGACTTGAATTTTGCTATAATGGAGGCTATAGCATAATAAGTGTAAGTCCTATACACTTTTTGTTTTCATGATATAATAGTGATTATTCTCCTAACTCTTTGTTTACTATTCTGGTATCTCTTTTTAGTTCTAGGATAATATTTACTAGCTGTGGGTATCATCAACTTCTTGACTTGTGGCCTAATAAGCAAAACAGATCTTGATTTCTCATGGTCATGTGCTGCAGCTTCTATGATAACATCCAACATGGGTCAAGCTATTTGCACATTAAACTCCCAAACTATCTGTTTCTTCTTGGCTGTATCATCTACAACATCCTGATATTCAAGATACATATCACATATAGAGGTTACTATGTTGTCTAATACAAGTTGAATTAGTTGTGCCTTGAACTCCCATGTTATGTAAAACTTCTTCATTACAAACTCATTGTTACAATAAACTATTGCCATCTTTTCCACATTTATTGCATGCATTATATATTGCTGTAATATGAAGATATTGCTAAACCTAACCATTCCTCTATATGCATGTGTCCCCTTTATTGTTGTCAATATCATTTTCCCATCGATGGTCCTTTGTACATCTTGTCTGACTTGTTGCACATTATGATCAATCAGGACAGCATCATGGTTTCACATCACTATATCATACTCAAAGTGTACTATGGTTCTTTTGACAATATTGTCAGTTAGCAACTCTCTTGCAGAGCAGCTCATCTGGACCATTTTACCTATAATTATTATCATTGTGTGGAGTGCTAATCTCATAAGGATGTTGGATGTATTTTCGTGAGCTTTATTTTAAATTCATGAAAAAACTCCTCTATCCATTGTTGCCATGCTACAGAAATATTGAACAGTCTAATATCTCCTCTCTAGATGCACATATTTTTTGAGTGATTACAAGTACTGTTCTCTTTCTAATCAATGCTTTTTTATTTTTATCTGTTCCTTAATTAATTTTAATTTCATCAATCTTATTTATTATCACACTTTTTTCTTGATTCCTAGTTGTTAACTTTAATACTCCTTTTACTGATATGATACATCTGACTCTATTAATGTTATATTAGTCTACACATTTTGTTTTTTTTCTCATATTCTGCCTGTCTTGACTTTTTCAGTTGCTACCCTTATCATTTCTTTCTAAATATCATCACATGACATTAACAGCTCTTCTCCTTGTATGATATTTAATACTTTTGGTGTTCACTTTTCCTCAGTTTTATTGACCATTTTAATATTATTCTTGGTTGTCATCAATGTTTCTTCTGGTTGAAAGAATCGTTAATAATGTTCAAGATCTTTGGTTGCATTTTATTATTGGAGCTGGTATTACCATACCTCTTTCCTTTCTCTTTGCAAACCCTTAGCTGTCCTTCTGATTTACTCTCTCTCTCATTATCTTTCGCTTTTTCTACTTCACTTGAACATTTGTTTTGCAGAGTGTTTTCATCGGTTACATCATAGTATTTTCTATGGTTAATTTTGTTAGCATGTATTGTATTAGTTTCATTATTTGGGATCAAAACCTTGGTTAGACTTTCTGTAATGATTCTTCATTTTTTAACAGTAACTATACTTGTGATTCCTTTTGGTAGAAACATATTATCAGTATCATGTTTTAACTTTTGAGGCTTGGTCTTTGAATTAGTTCTTGGATAACTCTCCTGTATTAGTCTTAACTTTGGCACAATATTTCCTTTCATATTCTTATATTTTATGAACAAGTCAAAACATTTAACTTAGTGATCTTTTTCTATACTCTTATTGTCACTTTAGATTCTATAATTATTTGAGACTAGATTCTTTATTCATATACTGGTTTTCCGCTTGCTAACACAAACATTTATTTTTTTAGGTGAAAACATATTATTGTTGTTGCACTTAAATTCTTGAACTGGAGAATTTATCATGATTCTTGGATAACCCTTCCTCATTATCTTCAACTCCAGTATAATATTTTCTTTTTTGTTCTTATTTTTTCCAAATAACCAGTAGCACTTAGTTTGACAGCTCATTTTCTTACTTTTCCTATTACTTTCCTCACTACTGGATCATGCCTTAATGCTTCAAATTTCAAATAAAGTAAAATTCGACTTTAATATTAATGTTGCAGATTGAACAGTATATGTTTATTTATATAATGTGCACTTATATTTCTGGTTTTAAATTAATTTGGTTGTAATTTATCCTATGCATCTTCAGGGATTTTTCTGTACGATTTATATTTTTTAGCAGTATATTCTACTAATTTACTTATAATTTCATGTCTGTACAAATCTATTATGATGAGAATAATATTGGCAAGACATTTGATTTGACTGAGGTAAGTAATTTCTCTTTATTAATTTACTCTAGTTACCACTTATTTTCTTTTTTATTTTAAAGAATAAATGTTAACATTTTATACTTTTTTATAAGAAAAGTTTAAGAACAATTTAGAAATATAATGAAAGGTAAGGGAATTTTTACTATTTTCTGATGCTATTATCTAATATAACACCAATTTCATTATTAATATTTCATTTACAAGCACCAGTTTCAGATCTATTTTTACATTTATTTTTTTCTTATGATTCTGGGTCAATTATTGGTCATGTGACTCAATTCGCATTACCATTGTTTTTATTCTCCCTCTTACATTATATATTACCACGTTTTTCATGTGAATCTATGAATTGATATTTATATGATCTGTAAAAAGACATATTCCAAGTATATTAAGCAATTGATACTTAATATTGATTCACAATTTAGACTTCATCACAGATGACTTGTGTAGTTATACCTGTGGCTAGAAAAGATTTGCAACCATAAAAATAATCAATAGATTTAGAGATAAAATCAAATAAACAAAGTATATTACAGTCTAACTGCAGCCTAACTTATTTGAAAGTCAGATAAATTAATTATAAATGAATTAGTAATGACTATCTTATTTATATTTATTTGTACTGGAGATATCTATTTTGAGAGAAAGAACTTTATATAAATACTGTCATATATCGTTTCTACCTCAGAAGAAAGATAAAGACGGAGAACTAGTAGCAGGGAGACACTTTAGATGGACAGGGCCAATGTGGTATGCTAAAGTTCCT